TCAGTTTGTCCATTTCAGCTATTTCCAGGATCTTCTGTTTAAGCTCTCTTGTTGATGGTATAGCTTTAGACTTCCAACGCTTTGCTATGAGAATTCTTGCTGCTGTTAGTAAATATACTATTATGTGTTTGTGGTTCTTTATTGTATCCGGAATCATATTTAATAAATACGTTTCTGGTGTTAATGGCATGTTAATTTTAAGTATGTCTGAGAATATTTTAGATATTTTTTCCCAAAAGGTTTGTATTTTGTCACACCTCCACCAAATGTCGAGGTATGATCCTATGTTCCTACTGCATCTCCAACAGATATTTGAAGCTGTCGGGAAGCATTTAGCAACTTTAGTAGGGGTCCAGTGCCATCTGTAAAACATTTTGTATATGTTTTCCTTATACGTAGTCACTCTAATATAGTTTAGTGAATTCCATGTTTTTATCCATTGGTCCATTTCTATTGTATAGCCAATCTCCTTTATCCAGGCTAGCATTGGTGTTTTTATAATCTCTTCTAGTAGCTCATCCTCTAGTAGTTTTGTGTAAAATTTCTGAACTAGCTTATCACTGGAAGAAAGCCAGATTTTATCAATTTCGTTTAGACTGGTGTAAAATCCTATTTTTTATCTTCATTATATCTTGATTTTAGTACATTTTTATCCCACCAAGATAGATTTATATTTTGTTTTTTTAATACCTCGTCTGTTTTTACCTCGGCTTTTTTATTTAATAGGTTTCCATAGGTTTCTTTAAATTTCCCTATTATTAGTGACGGTTTGGTAAATGCCTCTATTGGAGATATCCACAAAGGTACTTTGATATAATATTTATGTTTTATTAAATTCCAAACTTTCATAAGTGAGCGTCTTATGATATGAGTATGGAAGTTGGAATGGATTTTATCCTTTCCGTACCATAAGTACGCATGCCATCCCATTACCAAATCCGATCCCTCTAAAGCTAGTGTTCTTATATCTTCTAACTCTACCCAATCTTTAATCCATATCATTGACGCTGCGAAATAGTACAATTGCCAATTAGGCAATGCGAAGCCTCTTTTCTTATTCTCGGTTTTTTAGACTGCCATATAAATTTGCCTACAGATTTTTCTAGCTCCTTAAAAAACATATAGTTTTTAAGTATTGGTAAATTTTGTGCCAAAAAAAGGAATCTTGGAAGAATGTTCATTTTTATTGTTGCTATTCTGCCCAATAAAGAGAGATGTATTTTCTCCCAATGGTTTAAGTCTCTTTTAATATCATATAAAAGTCGTACGTAATTACTTTCATATAACGTCGATGTGTTATTTGAGATCCATATTCCTAGATATTTCGCTTTCTGCACTACATCCATTTTTGACATCTCTTTTATTTTTTGTATTAGCTTTTGTGGGCAGTTTTTAACTATGATTTTAGTTTTTTGAAAATTGATTTTAAATCCCGCTAGTTTACCAAATTCCTGAATATCTTCTATTAAATATGATAAAGAGTGTTCCGGATCTTCTAATATAAAGATCAAGTCATCTGCAAAGGCCTGTAATTTGAACACTTCACCTTTCACTCTCAGACCTTTTATCAATTCATTATTTCTTATCTTTTCGGCTAACGATTCTATAGTAAATATGAACAATAATGGGGATAGCGGGCATCCCTGTCTTGTGCCTTTCTGTATTGGAATGTTTTGAGTGATTTCTCCATTGATTAAAATTTTGGCAGAAATCAGGCGTTGGGCATTCAAAACAGCATAAAAGAGCTTCTTCTTCATGTCCTGGGAGTTCATAATCTCCCTTTGGAAGTCTGTCCCCATCTAGGGGTCAGTCCTGATTTTTGTGCCCCCAAAAGAGGAAAATACAGTCTTGCCTTTTCTTTGGCTTTCCCAGTCTCTGTACTTTAGGTGTGACAGTCTAATAAATGGTAGATCTTTTGTCTCACTCCAGCCAAAGCCGTTTGCATCTGTAAGCACTGAAGTATTCTGTGTTTGGGGTTTGATCATTCACCCCCCCCCCACACACACACATTTTCTCTTTTGTCAGCCGTGAACATGCAGTTGGGCTCCAATATGTAGACAGAGTTCAGTTGCAATTATTGGAATATAAATGTGATCGGGGGGGGGGGGCGGGGGGGGCATCCCTCCACA